GGGGCTAGAACCCAGGTCCCCTCCAAGAACGTGTGGTGGTCTTTGCTAGCATCAAGCTGTCAGACGACCGCCATGCTCCTGAGGAGTGGGCCCCCCTGGTCCTGGGAGCTCAGCCTCCCTTCCCACGGCCCACATCCCACCGCTGACTCAGGGAGCTAGCTGCTATCTCTCCGCGCTTCCTTTTCTTGGGAGGCTGCTTTTTCACACCAGGGCTTAGATGGGACATTTGCCACCACTGGAAGTCATCTCGCTGGAGTGGGTCCGGCGCTCTCCTGGCCTGCCCTGTGCCTTGTCCTCTCAGCGTGCTGTTCTCTGCAAATGGGATGAGTCTGCTGTCTGGGCTGAGATCCAAGTCACTGGGAGATGTTAAACATCATTTATCCCGGCGACATCAAGCTACCAGCTTCTGGGCCTGGAAATGGGCCCTCCGCAGCCTGTCTGCTGCTGACTTCTCCAGCCTTGCCTCCTGACCGGTTCCTTTGTAGACGAGCCACTGCATTCACATCAGCCTCCAGCCAAGCTCCAAGGGCTTCCTCCACTCCTTCCTACAAACTGTCCCCCAAGCCTGAATCCACCACTTTCTCTCCGTGTTTCCAGTTCCTCACCTTCCTTCTAGGCTCAGCTCAGGGGCTAAGTTCTCTGCTAAGCCCCGCTACTGTCAGTGCCTTCTTCTTCAAACTATCTCGTACCATCCGTGTGCATGTTGTATCCTCTGAGTAGAAATGGAAGCTCCTTGAGGGGTCAAAGGCATGGGGAGTGGAGATGTGGAGGGAGGGGAACAGCAGCAGCGGGGCTGGTGGGTTGGCTGGAGCCACACTGGGGAGCGCCAGGATCCGAAGGGCCTTTGTCATTGGGCAGCCACCGTGGCTCTCCGGGTGCCAAGAAACTGGGCCCGGGGATGGCTTAGAGGGGACAGGCCAGAGCAAGATGGGCAACGAGGCCATCGTGAGAGGAGACAGTGTCAGGCCCTGGGGGTGTGAGGAAAGGCAGAACCCGGCTTCTTGGAATGAGCTGCTTTGGGGTTCTACCCGCTACGCCATCTTCTCATGGCGGGAGCAGCTGACGGACTCATCCAGAGACACAGGGACTTCAGTGGAAAACCCAAATTCGAAGCTTGGCCAGGTGAATTTCGGGGCAGCCAAGTGGCGCCATAGTGCACAGAGCACTGGGCCTGGAGTCAGGAAGACTCGTTTTTGTGAGTTCAAATCCAGCCTCAGATGCTTCCCAGCTGTGTGACCCTGGGCAAGTCACTTCACCCTGTTTGCCTCAGTTTCCTCATCTGTTGAATGAGCTGGAGAAGGAAATGGTAAACCACTCCAGTATCTTTGCCAAAAAAACTCTAAATGGGGCCACAGAGTCTGAAACAACTGAACAACAGCAAACGTGAATTTTTATGGGAATTAAGGGGACACACCACGAACCTTCAACTGGAAGAGAGTGTGGACGTGGCCCTCTCAGGAGATGCCAATCATGTGCTCAGGTGGGCAGTGCCTCACTGGTACCCGGGCCTGGCAGAGTGGTACAAATGCTTTTTTTTCTTAAAGCTCACACGGTGGGAGTGTGGTAGGCGTCCCCCTCTGGCTGCTCAGAAGCCTCCGGCCTCAGGGTGACAGCCCATGGTGTACCCGGCCTAGGAAGGGTCAGTGGGAAGTACACACACACACACATACACATGCACACACGTACATGCACACACCACTCACCCACTCACCCACACACGCACACATACATACACATGCACACACACGTCAGGGAAGCAGCTTCAGCTAGTTCCCCCTGAGGCTGGTGGCCTGGACTCCCCTCCCCTCCCCTGGACTAGCCAAGGGTGTCCCTGCCTGTGGACGCTTCCTTCTACACGCAGCCTCTAAGGCAAGGGACAACAGAGAGACGCGGGGTGGGGTGGCTGCCAGAGGACTTCGGGGAGCACGGATTGAGAACTGGAGGGAAACTCGGCACTCAAGCCCAGTCTTCTCACTTGACAAAGGTGGAAACTGAGGCCCAGAGAGTACTGACCATAAAGGGGGCCTAGAGGGCTGGGAGCTCCTACCTGCTGGGCTGTCTCTCTGCTTGGCCTTGGGCCGACTCCAGGGCCTGGCCGGGCTCATCGGCCGAAAGGACGTGCGGGCCTTCATGCTGGTAGGGGTCCGAGCTGAAGGCTGCAGGGGAAGAGAGGAAACATTTCAGCCCCAAAGCCCAGAGAAGCAGAGTCCCTTAGACCAGGGTGGCCTCGGACCCTCGCCAGCCCGGCGGGGTGCTGCCGCGGAGCCTCTCCCGGCCCCTCCCTCTTCACCCTTCCTGTGGCTTCCACATAGTCTGTGTGACCATGAGCTCCCTGAGGGCAGGGACCATCTTCTGCCTTTCTTGGCAGCCCCAGAGCCTCTTAGCACAGTGCCTGGCACACAGGAGGCCTTAATCAATGCTAACTGACTGACTGATACTTGGACACCCAAACCTAAAGCCCTGGTCACTCTGGGCAGCCACTAGCAATTAACTCATCAATAAACTCTTTGTCAGTATGGATTTTCAATTGCTTATTGGTTGGTTGACAGCAGAATGTCTCTCCTGGCTAAAGCACCCGGTTTTACTCTTCCCCTCTCAGAAAAACAGTCTGAAAACGCCCAGAAACCTCAGGAGGCCCAAGAGGTCGGTCCCATCTGGCCTGTGAAGGACAGAAGGGCCGCAGCCCAAGGTCAGATCCCCCAGGGAAGCTGGGGGAGTGGATTCCAGTCTGCTGGGTGGGCCCACCCACTGAGGGAGGGTCAATTCCTTTCATCAGGACACTCTGGCTCTATCAGGTGCATCCACACTGGGGATCTTCCCAGATGATCTAGCCAGGTGTCTTGACCTTGTGAAGGGAAGATAGGAATCAGTGCTCCCCTGAGGGTCAATCGTCCGCCTGAGGCTGGGTCTTCCTCCAGAAGGTGGGAGCCCAGTGGGACCTCAGGGTTCATCAGTCCAATCTGCTCCACAGCCAGATAAGGAGGGTTGAAGCCCCCCACATAAAGAGACACAGAAGGAGGCCAGCATCCTCAGCGTCCTCTGGTTCAGTCACTTTCTTCCCAGGACTGAAGGACTACCAGAGTTGTCACCCAGTCATGGGAGGGGCATGTGGGACCCAAGCTCGGCCCAGGGCACCTTCCACTCCAGGGCTCCATGTGCAGACGGCGGGCGGGTGGCCACATTCCTGCTCTTTAGAGATACATCATTTCCTGGGGATGCTGATCTGGAGTGATAAGGACCTCAGAAGGAGACACAAAGGAGGAAACAGGCAAGCTGTGCCCAAAGACCCCCGAATACCAGAACTGAGGTCAAAGCCACAGGGGGCTTCATCCCAATAACCTCGGGAGGGGCAGAAGCATTAGCTTGGCTATTTTACAGACGAGAAAACTGAAGAGCAGGGAGTGGAATAGCAGGTACTCAGACCTAGGTCTTTTGACTTTCCCACCATGGGGCTAGGGTCTAGGGTTCTAGGACCCCCGTGGGGGCCTGGGAGCTCAGGTTTTCTTCCAGTGTCACTCTTCTCCGATCCTGGACCCTTCCACGTCCTTCTCAGGAACGCCACCAGGGGAGGCCTTATCTTCCACATCAAAGAGCCAGTTCTGCCTTTTAGCCTTCAAGGACGTGTCCTTTGGGCTAACTGAGCAGCTCACACCCTAGCCTCCAGTCTAGACGTTCTTCCCTAGAATGTGGCCCCTCTGCCCATCCACCGCCTCCCTGGGGACCTCACCTCCTTCCACGTCTTTAGTCATCTCCTCTATGGGCACCTCTATGTGTCTAAATCAATTTCTTAACCTCCATCCAACCTGGGGCAACCCACCTCCTGCGGGAGAGGGGGCTCTACCTGGAAGCTCCCACAGCACCCCCAAATCAACAGGTCCAGTACTTTAGGAATTTATTCCTAGGCTTTTCCCAAACTGGCTCCTTCCTTATAACTTCCTCAGTTCAATGATAATGAAGACCCAAGTTCAAATCCTGCCTGATACTTATTGTGTGACCTGAGGCAGGTCAGTGTGACTCAGTTTCCTCCAGTTTCAGGGCCAGATCTAGCATCAGTACCACGCGTTCACATTCACAAAGTTCCCTTAATTATTCTCTGCCTTGTCCCCCCGCCCCAAATTCTATCAGTTGGGAAGCCCTGCTGCCTTCTTTACTACTTCCCCCACCCCTGGCTTTTGTCCTCTGACCTAAGACAGTGCCCACCTTCAGAGCCAGCCTCAGCTCAGTCCATCTCCTCCTGCCACATCCCTGGCCCTGCTCCCCAGCTCTGGCTCTCATCATGCCTCGCTTGGACTCCTGCCATAACCCACCAATTGGCCTCCTGGCTTTGAATCTCTCTCCTTTCTAACCAGCCTCCACCAACAGGTAGTCCTCAAGCAGAGGGCTAAGGATGCCACTGTCTTACTCAAGAACCTGCAGTCACTTCTGGCTCTTCACAAGGGGGCTCCAAGCCACCTTTCCAGACCTTACATTCGACCTCTCAGCCCAACTGACCTCCCTGCCTTCCCCCACACGATGCTCAATCTCACCCCTCCATGTTTTTCTCACCATGCCTCATCTCTTGGAATCTCTGGGTCCCTTCAAGCGCCATCTTCTACCCAAGTTGCTAAGTCAGACAACATTTATTAAGTACTTAAGTGCCACGAATATTAAAAAAAAAAAAAGGCAAAGACAGTCCTTGCCCCAAGGAACTCAACCATCGAATTGGGGGGAGGGACAGACAGCCTTGTCCAGATAAGATCAATGCAAGGTAAATTGAAGGTGCTATCTGAGGGAAGGTACTACCATTAAGGGGGACCAGGTAAGCCTTCCCGTAAAAGATGGGATTTTAGCTGTGACTTGAAGGAAGCCAGAAGGCAGGGATGAGGAGGGAGGGTGCTCCAGGCAGAGGGAGCAGCCAGAGCAAAGGTGGGCAGTCAAGACACGGTAGGTCTTGTTCAAGGACAACCCGGAGAGCAGTGCTGCTGGATGCCAGAACATATGGCGGAGGGTGAGGTAAAGAAGACTAGGAAGGTGAAGGGGGATCAGATTATGACAGTGACAGGCAGCCACTGGAGTTTACTGAATGTACGTGTAAGTCAGGGACTCCATCAGAACTGTGGAAGCTCCCTCTGCAGCTGAGTGGGGCAGACCCATCCGCAGACTGTCACAATAGTCCAGGCGAGGGGATGAAGGCCTGCACGGGCTCAGGGGAGGGTAAAGGCTACCCCCTTGATTGAGCAAAGACTGAATATGGAGGGAGGAGACAGGGAAGGAGGAGAGAGTGAGGACGTGGGGACACTCAGGGTACGAGCCTGGGTGAATGGGGGTGCCGTGGGCAAGTCTGCAAGAGAGAAGGGCTCAGGGGCTGCACCCTTTACCCCGTAAGCCTTCCTAAGGTGCCCTCCACGAAACCAGGGATGGGAATCAGGCAGCTGGGGAAAAGATCTCTGGAATACATTTCTCAGTTAGGTATGCGAGATGGAGAGACATATGCAGACATACACAAACAGAAATGTACAAAGGACCAAGAGCTGGTCCCCAGCAGGTACGCGTTCAAAGGACACGAACTCTCAACAGAAGAAACGTGCCCGAAAGAACCCTCTGGGCCACGAATCCTGAGAGAAGGCAGATCAAGACAACCCTGCAAGCAGGCGCCGATGACGAAGACGGGAACGAGCCATGCTGGCGAGGCTGTGGAAAGTCAGGCACCCCAGTGTATGATCAGACAAAGAACAACCAAGGGAAAAGCTGACGTTCACATAGCACCTACCAAGTGCCAGGCACATGCTAAGCACCTTACAATCAGCATCTCGTCTGAATCTCACGACAGCCCTGGGAGAGAGGTGCTGTCATTATCTCCATTTTACTGACAGGGAAACTGGGGCAAACAGAGATCACATGACTTGTCCAGGCTCACTCGGCTAGTCACTGAGCTAGGTCACTCAGCGTCTGAGGCTGGATTTGAACTCAGGTCTCCTGACTCCAGGCCCAGTATTCTATCCACTGCTCCTAGCGGTCTCAATGGCCAATGCTGAGGGCTGGGGAAGACAGAAACACCACCAACTCCTGTTAGACTTGAGAGGCGGTCCAGCCATTCTGGAAAGCAATTTGGAATTCTGCAAAGAAAGTAACCACAGGTCCATACCCTGGAGGCATTGTTTATAGCTCTTTGGAGGGGAATTTGGGAGAGCTCAGGCAGTCCCCACCTTTCTCCACCATCCTGGCTCTGCCCCCTCCCTAGAGTCCCAATTTTCTTGCATCTAGCTTTTCTGTACATATTTTTGCGCATGTTTTCTTCCCTACTAGACTGTGCTTTTCTTGAGAACAGGAATTCTCTCTTACTTTTCCTTACGTCCCCAGAGACTCCACTGCTGGGAAGAGACACCAAGGAGGTCACTGACCATGCTGGCCATGGTGGCTGGGGCACAGCTGGTCCCTGGCTTGGCTGCCAGTGCCTGGGGTCACAAGATGCTTCCTCACTCTCCCGGCCTCCCAAACTATCTAAGACCCCTCCCAGCTCTAAATGCTGCAGAGGTGGATTTTCTGACTGAGGTGATGAAAATGGGGCAAGGGCCTGGAAGGAGGGGTGGGAAAGAGAAGAGGAGGCCTTTCAAGGTAGGGGCCAAGGCCCTGGGGAAGCAGGAGGTAGGCAATCATGCCAGGCAGCAGGCTGGCATGGCTGGAACGTGGGGAGGCAAGGGCCACAAAAGTTCCTTTCCCCCAAGGGGAAAGTCTATTTATTCTACACAGTTGGGGTAGAGTGGGGGGAAACATGAGCGGTGATTGTGACTCAGAAGAAGGAAGAACTTTTCAATAATGGGATGGCCTGCCTCAGGAGGCCTTAAGTAGGAACTGGACGGGACACAGGGGATGCCCATTAGGCAAGTGGTTAGATTCCAAGACTTCCAAGGCATCTGAGATAGATTTCTGTCATTCCAAATGGAAAAAAAGAAGTTCCAACTTGAATATGTGAGAATTTCTGAAAAGTCCAGCTCACAGAGAGGCCACTGCATGCCTCGTCACCTGAGAGAGGGCAATGAGGGGCACAAGGAGGACGTAATGAGAGAAGTGGCAGGGAGCGGAGGGTTGGAGGAAGGTCTGGAAGGGGGTGAGATGGGAGGCCTGGGGAGCAGCTCCGCTGTGGGAGCAGATGCAGATGAGCAATGAGAAGGACCCATAATCTGGTCAATAAATGGGGGTGTTGCAAATACTCCTGCAAGGGTCCCAAGCAAGTCACTCGGCCCCTGGGAGTCTGGAACATCAGAGCGGGAAGAGGGTGAGCTCAGAAAAGGGAGCTCACATGACTTGTTTCTTCCCCACGATACAAGACGGGGAAGTCTCTTTTGACAGGAAAAAAGCCATTTTAGATGTGTCCAGGAACGGGTTACTTGAGGGACCCTCCTCCAAGTCAAAGATCTCAGCTGGTGTTGGCTGACCTGGGGACATGGGCAGGGGTCACAGGTCATAGGGCAAAGGCCAGGCATCCAAGCGAGGCAAGCTGGCCAGGGAAGGAATGAAGGGTACAGACCTGGGTCAGGCTGGGGAGGGGGGAGCTGGTTTCACATAAGGCATGAGGAAACAGGCAGGGATTGGAATTCAGGCCTGTAGTCTGGGAACACGATCCAGGACACGGAGCAGTTCAACCAGTTTGTGAGGGCCAATCCTAAGCAATTTGCTGCTTGCTCTTTGCCCTGGGTTCACACTTCCTGATGTGGGTAGATAAGGGCTAGCAGGCGTGGGAGCCTTTCAGGGACAGGCAGGGTTCTGTAGCTGTTGGTGGCTGACTGAGGCATCTACCGAGTCCTGCTGAGGCCCCCTCTGGACTCCTGCCAGGGACATTCCCATCCATCTGGGTTAGGCCAGGTGGAAGGCTTGCACTGGAGCTGGGCCTCAGGGTCTGTACTGACCTGCAGCTCTGCCAGGACACAGGCAGTGGGGACACTCCTGAAACTGGCCTCTTCCTGGCCCTCCTGCACCACCCCTGAAGCAGGCAGCCAAAGGGCTGACCGCACCTGCAAAGAGGCGATTGTGCCCTGACGGTCGAGAGCTTGGCCACCCAGTTCAGAGGGCCCTTAGTCCCACTGGTCTACTTAGATGGAGGGAGGGCTCAGGTAGGGTGACCTTGCAAGGACTGCTAGACGCGGTCTGCCATGGCACAGGGGTGGCTGGCCTGGCCCAGAGGCCTGCTTCGCTTCTCTAGAGCACTTCGTGTGAGCTTGGGAGGGGACCCCCAGATCCTGTTAACATCAGTGAGTGCTTTCTCCCAGACTACTTCAGACTCTTTCGGAGGGAGGCCTCTTTGCAATTCCCTGGATGTTGGGATGTATGTCCTAGGACCACTGGAGTTTGTCCCCCAGTGATGTTTTTTAGGCCAGCTTGCCTAAAACTGGTTTTCCCGAAGGCACAGGGAGAGGATTCATGCACGCCGAGGTGACCAGAAACAACAAAATAGAATGTCACCGAAGTGGGGGAACAGGAGCCCATCACACACTGAGAGACGATGGGAGGTCAGTGAAGTGGAACAGTGATGACACAGGTGACCCCCACAAGGCCACAAGGCAGCCTTCCTCGGGCCTCACTGAGGCTCAGGCCCTGGAGTGGGCTGAAGACAAGGCCCAGTCTGTCCCTCCTTCACACTCGGTGCTGGTTGAGGGGCCTGTCATCAAGGATGCAGCCCTCCACCCATTTTCTTCATGAAGATGGGTGGTGCTCTGGTAGGTGAGGCTGGTGATGCTTCTCTGGACTTGGGGTCTGACAGTTGCCCTCAGGGTTGGTGGCGGGTGAGAGGTGGGGGTGACAGTGCTCCTAAGCAGCCCCAGATGTGACCATGATGCCTCCCCCAGGCCCATTTCCCAGTTTGCTTCCCAAAGACCACGCCCTGGGGGAGTTCTGGAGCTCTCTGACTGGCTTGTTCCCATTGCGGGGGAGACCTCCTCACAGCCAGCTGGCTCAAGGCCCAGGCATGCTCTTCCATGCCGGCATTTTCTGCTCCAAGAACAGGGGGTGTCCGGGAGGGCCCTCTGGCTCCACTCTCCATCCCTGAGACTTCCCTGACCAAAGCTTCCTTCTCTGGCTACCACACCCCCATTAGAGACTGCAGTTGCTGCTGCCTCTTAGAATATAAGCTCCTTGAGGGCAGGCTCTGTCTTGATTTTGCATTTCCAGTGGTGAGTACAGCACTTAGCACATAGTAAGCACTTAATAAATGTCTTTTCATTCCCTCATTCATTCACTTCCACCCCAGAAAGAGAATATTCCCAGAAGCTGCTGGTGCAACCCAGGGTCACTGGGGACTGGGGCTCCTCTTTGCAGGTGCCTCCCACCAGGTTAGGGCGATCTGAGGGCAGGCCTTAGGCCAAAAGGCCAGACAGGAGCTCTAGTACTGGGTTTATGGGAAAGATTACTGGACATCTCGGAGCTGGGATTATCTTGAGCTAGAGTTCCACACTGAGGGCAGTAGGGATGAGGGCAAGAAATGTCACCGGGGCAGTTTGAAGGGGAGGTGGCTACCGGGAATCCTCTTTGCCTCCATAGGGGTGGCCCTGGCCCCATCGTGACACATGCACAGTCTCCCTGTTAGAGCCTCCTAGGAGCACACAGAGACAGAAATAAGGCCTCCTGGACACTGGCCTTGGCTGGACACTCCCGCACCAGGCCTCGGGGCTCTGCCCCTGCACTGTAGGCAGGAGTTCAGGGCCCGGCAGAACCTTTCACCTGGAGCCACGTCTTCACTTGGCTTGGCTCTGGGCCTTTGCCCTGCCTTTACCCAAGGCTTCCAGAAGCCCGTCCTTCAGGGGGCTTTTTGGCTAACTGGCTACTGAGGGAGATGCCGGCCACACGCTGGGCCACGCTTGCCTGCACTAACCCTATCCCCGTCAACAATGATTTCGTGTTTACTTCTGGGCCTGTGCTGTGTTCCCCAGCTAGGACGTACAGTCATGGCAGGTGGGGGCAGGGTGCTTTTTGTCACTGCATCCTAATCTCCTGGCGCGGTGCCCAAGGCAGTGAATGGATGGGGGTGGATTGGAACCCAGGTCCTCTCACTCCAAAGCCAGTGCTTTGCACGGCCCCTGGCATAAACCATAGCCTCCACTTGGATGGTTATTACTCCTAATTAGGAGTTAATACCTGACTCACATCAAGAGGGCTACAAAGCACTTGGCTTACACTAAGTCGCTGTGAGCGCAAGGGGCAGTGTGGCCCCGAGGAGAGTGCGCTGGACTTAAGAGTCAGGAAGACCTGAGTCCAAACCTCCCTTCAGAAATTTATTAACTATGCGATCTGACTCTCTTCCCTGCCTCACCTACTTAATCTGTAAAACGGGGACACCAAGCGCTCTGTAAATAGGTGTTGCGTTGTCCCCACGATGCCCCTGCTCACCCAGGCAGCACAGGTACAATGCCCACTTGGGCCCAGATGAGACGGCTCTCCCAAGGCCCCCCGGCTAACAAGAGTCGGACCCAGGACCTGAGGCTAGGGTGATGGGGTCTGCAGGGCTTGGGATCATGTTCTCTATTCCATCTGAGCCCCCTGGGATCAGGCTGAGGCCTTCTGATGGAGGCTCGGAGCTGGAGAGCTCCCTAAAGCTGGAGGGATCAGGCAGCACCTTCTCCCACCCCTGCAGGTATAAGCTCAGGGCGGTTCTGGTACCAAGAGGGCACGCAGAAGTCTGAGATGGTCTGATGCTAGAACTTGGCCTCTCTCACCTCCCCTGTCCCTCCCAGTCAATCAGGTCCCGGAGTCAGGAACGAGATTCTTGTCTAGTAAACCTTGGCTACCTCTGTGCACAAGCCCTTTCATTTCCTCTGGAAAATGAAAAGAAAATAGCCTTGCAGGATATGAAAGGCCTGTGGGCACACCCCTGATCCAAAGCATACTTTCTGTGTACAAAGACAAGCCTTTCTCTCATGGGCAGCCTCCGCTGGGTCAGATGAAAGGGTATTTCCAAATCCACTGAAGATGCCCAGAATATTTTATGACTCCACAGAATCCAACTGGATGCTCCACATGCACCAAATACCCAAGAACCCCAAATTCTGAGGCCACAGAGACTCCTGGTCTCCATCCCTCTTGCTTTCTGATTCCAAAGTCTTCCCTCCCCATTTCTGCCCAAGGCCCAGCAGGACCTAAACTGATCGCACTCAGCCGGCGCTTCTGCACCGCCGGCGGCCTGCCGGACATCTGCAGAGCACCACGGGGCTGCACTGATGTTACATCAGGAAAGCAGATGTTTTGTCTTCCCCATCCACATGGACGAGATTACTTAGTTCAGCTCTCTTATTTTATAGAAAATGAAAGAAAGAAAGAGGTTAAACGATGATAGCATGGGGCTGATAACTTGGGCCTCCCAGTTCCCAAGCCAATGTTTTTTCCCTCTCTTATCACATTGCCTTTTAAAAAAACGGACATTAAACTGATTGGAACAGAAATTACATATCCATCCATCTGTATCATACATAGGAGGTACTTAACGTCCATTTCTTGAATGAATGTTTGGGGACTGGCTGGGAGTCAGGATCTGTGAACATCAGGTGTGGAGCACCACCTACCCACCCCAAGTAGGCCTACTTGGCCCCACCCTGGCCCCCCACAACCCTGGCAGTGCCATTTGCTCAGAGGCCTTACATGTAAAAGACGTGCTGGACCGGGTTCCACTGCGGGTAGGGGGCCGAGGGCCTGGCTGGGCCTGGGGCGGGCTGCCTCGAATGGGGCGGGCTGCACACGGCGAAATGAAATCATTTTCTAGCCTGGAGGAAAACAAATAAACAAACAAACAAACAAACAAACACAAACACGTAAGCTACAACTACAGCTAAGCTGGCAGCAGCCAACATTGGCCAACCTGCAGCTCTCTGGGGTGTCACCACACAAGTGCAAGGTAGGATGCCTTGACAGCAGATTTTAATTAAAATTTGGAGCCTTCTGTATCTCGGGGACAGTGCAGATGGATGGTGAGTTGGGCCCAGGGCCAGCCAGGAGGAGGAGGGGGGTTGGATCGTCTTTGGGAAACAGCCAAGTGCCCCATAGACACAAAGGCCCACCTTTTCCAGACCAGCACCCTACTGGTGCTGCTGTATGAGAGAGGGGCGTGACAACAGCTTCTGGAGAATTAAAAGGGTCCCCAAGCGGCGTCAGCCACAGCACATGGTGGGCATGGGCAGGCAGCATCATGTAATCAATTAAGAACTTCAAATTCAAGGAGTCTGCTAGGAAGGGAAGACGGGTGTGGTCGCCATGTCGGCAGGGGCGCCGAGCCAGCCTCTAGCGGGGTGGCTGTGAGAGGCTGCGGAGGAGAGTTGCCATGGGTGGGCAGGCAGGGATGGGCTGAGATCTGCAATGCTGCTCTAACAGAAGTCGTACGAGGCCAGAAGCAGCCCATACGGTCCAGCGGGGGAGAGGCCAAACAAATGGGATGGAACATCACGGTGCCATGACGTGCGATAAATGTGGAGCTTATGAGGACCCACGGAGAGACCAACAGGAGAGAATGCAGGAGGAAACTGGCAAAAGCAGAACTGTCTTCACACTGACTATAACCACACTAAAAAGGGAAAGAAGGGAAAAAGAGGAAGGAAGAAAGACAGGGAGGGAGGGATGAAGGACAGGAGGGAGGAAGAAATGAAGGAAAGGAAGAAGAAAGGAAGGAAGAAAGAAATAAAGGGAGAGAAGAAAGAAAGGAAGGAAGAGAGGGAGGAAGGAAATTGAAGAGTCAAAGATGGTAGGAGTGACGCAGGCCTGCAGGAAAAAGAGGAAAGAAGGAAGAAAGGGAGGGAGGGATGAAGGATGGGAGGGAGGAAGAAATGAAGGAAGAGAAGAAGAAAGGAAGGAAGAAAGAAATAAAAAAGGGAGAGAAGAAAGGGAGAGAAGAAAGAAGAAAAGAAGGGAGGGAGGAAGGAAGGAGATTAAAGCATCTAAGACGGCAAGAGTGAGGCAGGCCTGCAGGGAAATACAGAACAACAGTTTGCTGTTTTGTTGTTTACTAGTTCATCTAGTCCCGTGGTATTAAAGGCTAAAGGTTCGGGCTGACTGGAGGGACTAACAGCTGTTTCACTTGGAGGGTGCCTGGGGGGAGGCTGTGAGCTCTGTCTCCGGGTATCTGAAGAGCTGCCACATTCAGCACAAGGAGCAGACTGCTTTTGTATGGCCCCAGAGGTCAAGAACCAGGAATGATGAGTAGAACGTGCAGGGACAGATGTCAGCCTGCTAGAATGACGAGCTGGCTCGTCGAGGGGAAGGGGCCCCCTCAGAGAGCCTGGGTTTCCCATCCCTGAAGGTTCTGAAGCAAAGGGGGGATGACCATGTGGTAGCAGTAGTGGGAGGAGAGGCGTTGCCCAGGGCCAGCTGGACTAGGCCACTGTGAGCTTCCTTCCACTCCGAGCCTGAAGCATGGAAGCACACAGCCCATTCAGTATTACCTGGCTACTTAAGGCAGTAGGGGAAAGCTCACAAGAAGTGTGGACAGTGAATCTTGGGTTCCAATCCAGTGTTTACCCTTGACTAGCTGGAGAACCGGGTAAGTTATCTAACCTAAGGCTCAGTTTGCTTCTTTATAAAGGGAGATTAGATAATGTTTGGGAAGATGTCTTGCCAAAGATGATACCAGGCTAGAAAGTGCAGAAACGACATGTCACCTCAGGCCTTATCACCAACAGATCAGAGGACACACAGGAGGCCGAGAGATCTGGAATTGATAGAGGTCACTGAATTCAGCCCACTTGTTTCACAGACAAAGAGCAGGGAGCTTCAGAAAGCCCCCCAGCTAGACAGGCAGCGGCAGGGCTGGGAGGGATCGGAACCCAGGGCTTCTGGCTGCCAGTTTCATGTTCTCTCCACTGCCTCAACACGGTCCCTCTTAGATCAGAAGAGCTTGGCTCAGTTCTCCCCGTGTTCCCCTCTCCCTGGCCTTGCTTTATCTGACGCTTACCTGGGCCCCTTCTCTGAATTAACGCACTACTGAACATCTGCTGGGCAGATGTGTCTTAGAGTCAGACACAAAACTAGGTAGAGACATCAACTCTGTCCTGATGACTTCTGAAAAAAAACAGATTCACCAGACACCCTTCTGTGAAATGCGCCTTAGTGGGTCTCATAGACCCTTGCCTAAAAACTCTGATCTACCACGAGAAGGGGCTTTAGATGCCGTCTGGCTTGACCTCCTCATTATTGCACATGAGGAAACTGAGGCCAAAGAGGAGAGGCACTTTGTCCGAGGTCATGCAGGTAATCAGATGACAGCAATACAATTTTGCTCACTAACAGAAACCTCGAACAAGCGTATGAACCCAGTGGGAGCACTGGCTTGAAGCCCACAAAGATTTTCCTCTTTGAGCAGAAAATCTGAAATTTCCATTCCTCTAACTGGGAGAAAGAACTTCCCTTAGAAGATGAAGAGAACTGGCTGCTAAATTAAACATAAACACCCCCCGACCCAGCCCTGGCAGTTACAAATGAAGTCACGGTAAGATTTCCTCTGTGCCTCTGGCCTCTCCTCTGCACAGACTGCTCGCTTGCCAGGTGAAATGAGCAGGCCGCTTTCTCTGCAGTCAGAAGCAGGGCATAAAGATGCTCTGTGAAAAGCCTGTAACTACCTGGACCAGCACCAGTGCAATTCAAAGGGCCGAGGGCCTCCTGGACACCAGCCCCATCTGAGAGCATCCATGCCGTGTGCCCGTGGAGCAGAAACAAGAGGCTCGGCCCTCCCACGTGGGCAATGGCTTCCTCCCTGCCTCTTCCTCTAGCCCCGCCTGGTACGAAGGAAAGACTCGAACCCAGATCTTCCTGACGCCTGCACCACATATCTGTCCCCTTCACTGCACCACAAAGGAAGCCCTCGGCTCTGCAGATGTCTGCTCCTGCAGGCCTCGTGTTTCAAGCCTGGTGGGAGCACCGAGCAGGTGTGGTGTGGGGGGCCGGGGAAGGCAGTGGGACCAGAGGGGAGCCCTGGGATTCATTCATGATCACATTGGCCAGCATCAGTTCTGCCTTCGGACTGACCCCCCGGCATGGGGGGAATGGGCTGCAGGTGCCCCGTCACAGCGACTTAGACGCTGCAACATGCCTTGACCGTAAGAGCCTGGGAAGCAGCATCACACTCACTGACATTTCCACAGTGCTTTGGGCCTGTCAGGTACCTTCCTCAGAACAGGCCTGGCACAGAGGGCAGCGCACAGAGTCACATGCTAGCAGAGAGGGAGCTGGGATGTGGGGTCAGGCCTTGTACGGCCACCCCCCTGGCAGCTGCCTCCCTGTCTGGGGAAATAGGACAGAAAACAGGGCCCCAGGCCGGCCATTCCCTCACTGACACCTCTGGCTCCTCACCTCTGACTGTGTCAGCCACAGGGATTGCCTTAATGTCCAAAAAACGCCCTAAAAAATGACAGTGGCTGAGTGCTTTTCAACATGGATATTTTATTTGTGATTTTCACTGGACACCTTGCGTCACAATAATACAAGCAGAGCTTAAGAAAATGAGATTTGCAACAGCATTGCAGACTTACGTGGGGTGCACATTCTTATGATACCCAGGGGTGACAGGCCTCTGCAAGGGCTCGTCGACACTCTGCTGCATGCCGCTGGGAGGGGGCCTCCTCCTGGCTTTGCCTGAGTTGGTCATTATCTAGGACATAGGAGACACGGTCAGCTTGTGGGCAAAGAACCGCAGAGGTGATGCTCTCAGGCCCCTGGAACCTTCTCTGGGGGGCATAAAAAAAAGCAAGCGACCGTTTTCTTCAAGCTTCTCTGTGACTGGCTGGTGCTCCAGGCTGGGCCCACTCCCACATCCTGGCCGCCAATTCGGAGAAAGCCACCAACGTGGGCTCCGAATAATGGCGCAGAGTCCGGGCCAGGAAAGGTCACAAGGGAAGAGGAAGGGGCAGCCAGAGGAGACCAGAAGCTAGAAAGGTCAAGGTCCTGGGAAATGGAGGAGCTGTGCAGACTGCCTGTTTCCATCCCCTGGCAGAATGTAAAGCCCTTGGGGGCAGAAGGTTCTCTGTTATCTTAGCATCCTCAGGACCTGCTCCCTTCTCACGAGGAGCTCAAATACTAATGGGACAGAAACGTGTGACAAAGACACTGAGGATGGCAGGTTATCTCAGATGGTGCAGGAGCCTGAAAGGGCCCTTTTATAAGGGGGATTTATAAGGAGCTGAGTCTTAAAGGAAGCCAGAGAATCCAAGAGGAGGAGGTGAAGAGGGAAGGCATTCCAGGCAGGGGGCACAGCCAGGGGAAAGTCATGGAGGTGGGAGTTGGTCATGTGTAAGAACAGAAAGGAGGCCAGTGTCCCTGGATTGAAGGGTGCCTAGATGGGGAGAAAGAAGTAAGACAAAAGATGGAAGGAGCCCAGGAGATAAGGGCTGTATATTTGATCCAGGAGGTGATAGGTAAGCAGTGGAGTTTAGCAAGTCAGGGGTGGCATGAGCTTTAGGAAGACCCCTGTGGCACCTGAGTGGAGGAGGCGGGAGGGATGGGAAGGAGGGAGTCCAAACAGCAGGGGGAGAGGCCGGGGCCCGTACCAGGCGGGGACCTTGTGTGTGGAGAGGAGGTTGCCCCCTCTCCTGGCTGTTCCAGCTGCTTAGAAAGACACCCTCAAAAGCCCCTCGCTTGACCTTCCCCATCAGCTGCTGTCCCACCTCTCTCCTCCTTGTCCTTCCCAATTGCAGAACCTGGATTGTAAGGGGTTAAGAAGAGAGTGAGAGGGAGAATGTGGAGGTACCCACGATTGCCAGCCTTCTCAGGGAAAGATAAGGAGGAGAAGGTGGGGGGCAGCCATTGGGGAAGGTCGAGCGAGGGTCTTTTGAGGACGAGGGAGACCCACGCGGTCTCTCTACGCAGCTGGAAGAGTCGGGAGAGAGGGCAACACAGGTCAGTGAGGGAGGGGGATGCCCACAAAGGTGAGAGATGGCTACCCTCTTCTCCCGGGGTGGCAATCCCCTGGAAATGACTCAGACACAAATATCACTATCCCCATTTTACAGATGAGGAAACGGACACTCAGAAAGGCTGACTCTGCGTCCAGAGCCCTCTCTACTAGACCATCTTCCCTGATGGGGTTAATGCTAATGGACTGGCCAGGGAGGTAATGCCATCACTAGAGGCTAGAGGACCATTTGGGGGTGTGCTCTTGAGGTCACTGAGGACATTCTGGATCAGAGACTGCTTGGACTCGATGTCCTCTGGCGTCCCTGTGTGGGCCCAGTGACTCAGCCTGGGTCCTCCTCTGAACAGCAGCGTGCATTTTTGAGATGGGCAACAAGAGATGGGGCAGCCACTCACGGCCATTAGAACACAGAAGAAGAAAGTGGTGCAAATGGGGAAGGAGCACATGATCTCAGCCTCATGAACCCACTGCTCTGGCCAAAAAAGGATCATTTTTAAAAACCCTCCTGACATGCTGTGGCCCAGGGGGAAAGGTACTCACTCCCAGATACTCGGAGGTCAGCAGCTTTTCCCCGGAGAGCTCCCCAAGCTGGGGCTGTATCACTTCATCCTTGTCCAGATCAGACTCCATGGTGTCCTGGTCCTCCTGTTTCAGAGAAATGAGAGGTGAATCCACTGGACACAGAGCAGCCAGGGAAGCTCAGATACATTTACAAAGCAGCTGCTATGTCCACAGCACTGTTCCCACCATCCCTGCCCTCAAAGAGCCTGTGGTCTAGGGGGGTGGGGCGGCACAATATTCCACAAGTTTGTTTTTCAGTTGGCATTTAACAGTTATTAAACACCAAGACCTCGTGGTGCAAATGTTTTTTTTAAAATTTTAAGTATTAAAAAAAATTTTTTTTCCATATGCTTTTGAGTTGAAAATTTTTCTCCCTTTTCTCCCCCCCACCCTCCCCAAGATGGCGCACAATCTGACATAGGCTTTACATTTACATACCCATTAAACATATTTTCACATTAGTGAAGTTGTAAGTAAAAATTAAAACCAATAGGAGGAACCATCAGAAAGATGAAACAAAACTCAACAGAAGGTAAAAATAAGTGAGAGCGATTCGACTTCCATAGTTTTTCTTTGGATGTGGACAGCATTTTCCACCCCAAGGCCTCTGGAGATGTCTTAGATACTCGTAATGCTGAGAAGGGTTCAGTTTAACATTCTTAGTCATTGCATAACGTGGCTGCTATTGTGTACAAAGTCCTCTGGGTTCCGCTCACTTCACTCAGCATCAGACCATATAAGTCTTTCCAGGTTTTTCTGAAGTCAGCCTGTTCATCATTTCTTATAGCACGATAGTATTCCATTACATTCATATACCACAACTTGCTCAGCCATTCCCACAATGATGGGCATCCTCTCAATTTCCAATTCTTTGCCACCACAAAAAGAGCTGCTATGAATATTTTTTACATGTGGGTCTTTTCCCATTTGTTTGATCTCTTTGGGATATAGCCCTAGAAGTGCTATTGCTGGATCAAAGGGTATGCACATTTTTATAGCCCTTTGGGCATAGTTCCAAATTGCTCTCCAAAATGGTTGGATCATTTCACAACTCCACCAACAATGTATTAGCGTTCCAATTTTCCCACATCCTCTCCAACATTTATCATTTTCCTGTTTTGTCATGTTGGCCAATCTGATAGGTGTGATGTGGTACCTCAGAGTTGTTTTGATTTGCATTTCTCTAATCAATGATTTAGAGCATTTTTTCATATGACTAGAGATGGCTTTAATTCCCTTCATCTGAGAACTGTCTGTTCATATCCTTTGACCATTTAGCAATTGGGGAATGGCTTGTGGGTGCAAATGTTTTCTAAAACCTCCAAGCTGCCTAGGAGATTTTAGCCACGAAACAGAGCAGAGACCGATGCCCGGAGACCCAGATCTCAGTTGCCGTCTCTCTCACTAAGTGTCTCCACAAAGCTGGGAGGAGGGAGAAGAGAAAGAAGGGATTTCCCCTAACTAAATCTCTCCTCATCTTAAAGACCCAGGGTCCTGGAGGCCTGGCTTGCCTCTCAATGGCCCCAGTAAGTATAAGAGACACAAGACCACCCCCGAAAGGCTTCAAATCAGATTCCCTGAGCCTGGGGCCCCAGTCTCATTCCCAGAATCCCTTCCACAGAGCCTCACAGGGTGTTCTCACTGGCTTGGGCTGGGCTCTGTGTTCTGTGGTTCCTGCCTGCCACGAGCTCACCGTCTGGTGGACCTGCCTTGGTCCACCTAGGACGCTTTTTGTTTTCAGAGAGACTCAAAGTGAACTTTGGCTGACAGGCCTGTGATGTCCTAGGGAGAACCCTGAGATCACAGTGCTGACTAGTCCTGGGGAAGGCCCTCTTCTGCAGGACCAAGTAGGTGGGTTCTCTCAGGACCTTTCCAGCTCTTCCTTTGGTGATCCTGCCAGGAAGAGTGAGAACCCAACAAGGTTGACCTAGTATCTCCCTCTCCTACCCTTCTTGGCCTTCTCATTGCACAGGAAGGGCTGAAGTTGGAGTGACAAGTCCTAGACCAAGGCCTGACTCTTCTTCTCACTGCCCATGTGACCTTGGACAAGTCAGGACCCAGGCTTCCCAGACCTCTCTGGGCCTCAGCTCCCTCCTCGGCCTACATTTTCACCTCTAGCTCTGGGCCAACAAGTCCACAAACATCTATTAAGTGCCTATTATGTTCCAGTATCTGCTGAGCTCTGGGGATACAAAGAAAGGCAAAAAACCAGAGAGAAGGGGAGCTGCATTTCATCCCCTCATCTAGGCTTCCAGAGGAAAAAGAGCAAAAAAGGGCTGAGCAATGAATCATGGCCCATAGAGATGGAACAGACATACGACTTCTCGCTCAGTTTCAGCGTGGAACTTTTTCTAATGACACCCCCTTTCCATTTCACAGAAAAACCAAGCAAAGCCTCTGAGTCTGGCCCACGGCAGGCGAGCTCCGCCGGAGGCCTTCCTGGAAGGGAGGGGCCTTATTCCTCCCTCTGTATCCCCCAGCACAGAGATTCACACTCACTCCACAGGATTCCTCAGTGAATGCCTTTCAGTTTTTGCTTTCCAGGAGACCTCAGTCCAGGGGTGTGGCCAGTGTCAAAGCAGATTTATCGGTTTCCTCTCCATGTCATGAGACAAGGCTGATGAATTAGTTTTAAATGCTTTTAAAAATGACGTTTAAGAGGAACCCTGCGGTCCAAGAAGAATCAAAATGTCAAGGGTGGAAGGAGAGTGGGCAGCTGGTGGATCTAAGGAGGCCACAGCTCCTTGCCAATGAAGACTTCTATTTGAGAAGTGGTGTGACAGCCATCACCAAGGGCAGACATGCCTGGAAATAGAGATGGGCCAGCCATGCAGTGAAGATGAGGACCGAAGGCTGGACGCCCAAGGCTGGGGCCCCATTCCTACCAATGGAGGCCTCCAGCTCCCTGGGTCTATCTGCTAGGGAGGATTTCTGAGAAGACCGGGACAACAATCCCACAGGATGAGAAAGTACTGTGATCTGCACCAGTGAAGGGATGGCCCACACAGAGAGAACACAGATCTACTGGTGTATTTAAGTCATCTCACTGTTTAATAACATTAGCCCAGTAAAGTTTTTTAAATTACCTTATTTTTAACTTAATGTTTTCAAGGTATTTTGAAATTAACTTCATTAATCAAGGTGTGCTTGCCAGTAGACTAGTTTCCACATTTGGACCTTATCACACATTTATACAGAAAGTGGGATGTGGGGCTGAGAACTAGGTGTTGAATGTCAGGGTCCTACCCCCACACTCTGAATCCCTGGCCACAGGGAAAGCTGCTCCCTATGTTTTAATTCTTTACTCACTAAATGCCAGTGAATACTCGTGGACCGTTAAGGGATGCAGGAAACATAAATTACTATTAATTCGAAGTGTTTTGGTTGACAAAGGCCAGAAGACCCGAGTTCTGATCTCAGTTCTGGTGGAAGTCATCCAAGCTGGGAACATAAGCTCCCTCTCTCCTTCTTCCAATATGGGGAACAGGGATGTAGAGGTGCGGGGGTTCACTCTCTAGCTTACACGGATAACACGAGAACGACTGATTTTTCTCTCAAATTTTTGGATCTTTGAAAAACAAAGACCTGGAAGAGGTACAAGCAGAGGGGTGGCAGAGAGTGCAGGGGCCTTAGAACCAGAAGCCTTAGCTTCCCCTCTTCATTCTGCCTCTCACCAGCTCTGTGACTGTGCCGGGCACTGGCAATACAAAAACACAAGCAAGGTAGTCCCTGTCCTCAGGGATCTTACACTGCACTGGGGAGAGCCAATACACACAAGCAAGGTAGTCCCTGTCCTCAGGGATCTTACGCTGCACTGGGGAGAGCCAATACACACAAGCAAGGTAGTCCCTGTCCTCAGGGATCTTACGCTGCACTGGGGAGAGCCAATACACACAAGCAAGGTAGTCCCTGTCCTCAGGGATCTTACGCTGCACTGGGGAGAGCCAATACACACAAGCAAGGTAGTCCCTGTCCTCAGGGATCTTACGCTGCACTGGGGAGAGCCAATACACACAAGCAAGGCAGTCCCTGTCCTCAGGGATCTTACACTGCACTGGGGAGAGCCAATACACACAAGCAAGGTAGTCCCTGTCCTCAGGGATCTTACGCTGCACTGGGGAGAGCCAATACACACAAGCAAGGTAGTCCCTGTCCTCAGGGATCTTACGCTGCACTGGGGAGAGCCAATACACACACTTATGAGGAAATACATACCCTATTACAATAATACCAATCAATTTCAAGAGAACGTTAACAACTGGTGGGATCAGTTTCCTCGTCTGTATAACAGGACTAATATCTTCACTAAGAGTATTGTGCCGTGGGCACTAGATGATAAAGTGCTTTGTAAACTACGCTTATAGTTATTAGCATTATCATTATCATCATCGTCATCACCAAAATCCTTGGAAACAACTTATCAGGAATGAGAAAATGGAATCACTCTTAAGATTCATGAAATGCAAAGAGAAGATGAGTTGGATAACAAAGAAAAACCAGACTTTAACTGAGGCCATTCAAAGAGCTGCCAAAAGTGCTTGGAAAACTTGCACAGGCAATGTTGGGGGAAGGGAGAGAAAATCTCAGCTCCCCAGCCCCAACAATGGGAAGGGTAAGCAGATATGCCATTTAAATCATTCCACGGGACAAAGGGACACCTTCCCAGTCAATGCCAAGTAGGTGAAAAAACGAAGAATCTTTATCCAGATTTTTTTTTTTAATGGGCAAACCCAGCCCCCAGTGGGCCCTGGGCCAGGAAACACAGAGCTACCTTCTAATCGTGCTCAGGAATGACCATGGGGCGGATCACTTCTTTCTGCTCATTCTCCCCAATGTATAAGAGAAAAGGATTCTATTGCATTCTATGTGCCCAAGTTGGGCTGTTGTGAGAGCTGGCTGAAACACGTGAAGTCCTCTGGAGAGGGGAGCCTGGCCCAAAGGCAGGGCATTACCGAGAGCATTATCTTTTCAGAGGTGTTTGTGTCCTCTGAATAGAAACAGAGGTTTGTGAAACCCAGCTCGGGAGGCAAGACTTCTGAGGTCCTGAGAAGGGGGTGAGAGGTAAGGAAATGCTTCCAGAATAA